CAACAGGCTGTTTTTCCTCTCATTCCTGCCTGTTTTGCTTTCTCCAGGGTCTTGCACCATCTTGCTTCGCTTAAAGGAGAAAAAGGTCCCATTTTAATTGAAATCTTGAAACCTGTGGCTTTAACCAAACCAAGGCAGCAGCGCCGAGACGCGGGCACCCGGGGAGCACCGCCGGGCGCGCAGTAGGGGCTGCTGGGTTTGTTCAGAGAAGTTGCTTCCGATGTGTGTGTGTGGGTGGTGTGGTGGGGTGCTAGGACTTCTTTTTGTCAACACTGGGCTCAAACAGGCAAAAACTTTCCTCCATATCGACGCTGCTTATTTCCGAGTCAGCGTGTTCGTGCCGGTAACTGTCAGGCATTTACACGAAGCTGCAAGAACAGGCGTCTCCACTCAGCGCTGCCGTTCCAACAGCGTCCGAGGCCCCCACCCACGGGCTGGCGCACCCGCGTTGCTCCCTGCAGCTCGGGCCTGTGTCCGGGTCCCGGGTCCACCGTCAACTTCCTGGGGCCCATAACGGATCCAGCTGGTTTACCAACACGCAGCGCAAACCCCGCCAACCCCAAAACGAACGTCACCAACTTGCCGCCACTGCTGCTCCTTCTGGAACGCTCCGCACGTCGCTGGCTAGCTCTGCCACGCCGCCCCCGTGTTGCCTAAGCTGGAAACGGAGGATTCGCCTTGGCTCCTGTCTTCTCTTCAAATCTTTAACCCAATCAAGTCGTGGGTCCTGTGAGTCACCCACCCCGCCCTTCTCCCAGCCTTTCCTGCAGAGCAGGTGGCATCACCGCGCGGCCGGCGGGTGGAGCACAGCCTGCGCTCCTTGCCTCGGGTCCGTGCTCTGCTCTGCCACCACTGCGGCTTTCTCAACGTAAACCTGGTCTAACTGCTGCTCCGGCTCAGCTCTGTGGCTTCCCCGAGCCCGTGCAATGAGGCCCAGCTCCGTAACCGGGCTCACGGCGTCACTCACAGGAAGACCCTGCGAACCTTTAGAGCCGGATAGCAGGCTCCTCCCGTCCCTGTCCCCTTTGGCGCTGCACCCGAGGAGCTGGGGACATCAGCCATGCAAACACCGAGGCCGCCTCGCCGCCAGCGAGCCCTGGTTGTCCCCACGTCTGGGGTGCACGCTACACTCTCCGGGAAGCTGCTGGCCCCCTCACTTGGGGATGGGCCGTTCTCGGGGAACCACTGAACATCTGTACTTAATCGACTGTCACTGCCCCGTGTCACCTTCTGTGGCCCCCGAGGAGCTGAGAACAACGCGACGCCGTCTCTGACGCAGGTGAAGTCCCCGGTGCCTGTAGTCACGGCATGTCCAAGCGCCGAGTACATGCTCACCTGCAGCAGCCGAGGCGTCTGCGCCACGAGCCCTGGTGCCCGTTCAGGGCAGCGCCGCTGAGGCCTCTGGGAAGGACGCAGCCCCTCCGTCTCCCAGCCCGAGGTGCTCTCCACGTGACAGCAGAACACTGGTGCCTTCAAAACCGTCCTGTAACTCAGGTGTCTCACGGGCTTGCTCCACACGACCGTACCTGACACACAGTCACAGAGCTGCCACTGTGCTGACAGGGAGCTCACAGGCCACAGCTGTCACCGAGCTGTGTCACTCACACAGTGGACACCCAGCGGCTCGTGACACTTCTAAAGAGACGTTTAGTTCTTTGACTTTCTGGTGTGGGCTCTGAATGATACGATAGATAAATGATAGATGACAGATAGGTGTATCTCCGTATATTACACACTAAGTTTACATCTGGGCCTAATCAAGAGTATATTTCCCACCAGCAGACTCTGGGTTAGGCTACAGAAGCTTTCCTACTTAGGATAAGTTTCCTATTCACTGGAAAACCCAAGTTCAGCTACCAAAACAACGAAGAAACCCTAAAAAACGGATTAATTTTAAATCTTGCCATAAATACCCCATCGAAACTGTTTGCCAAGTACATCGACGAGTTCACTTGTCCCCACGATGAGACCCAGCCTGGTGTCTGAGCTGGAAGGCCTGTGCCTGTGAGTGGCCACAGTAAACCTGCCACTCAAAGTGGCCCCCACTTTGGCTTGAGCCTGTTGACCAAGTCAAGAGGCAGAGACATGGGACCCTGTGGCCGGGAGACCCCCCCGACCTCACTTGAACTCGGGGAGCAGTCAGGTGTGCCGCCTGCTCAGGGCCCCCCCGCAGCAGCTGTCTGCTGAGCCCAGCGGAGCTTTGGCCGTTCAGAGAGGAGCAAATGCACACCCCCAGCTCCGGTGCCCGGCTCCGCGCGGGGGTCCTGCCCCCCACAGGTTAATTCTCCCCTCTGGGCTGGTTGGTGGAGCCGGGCCTCGGGGAGGGGCCCGTGAACGGGACTGCGGCCCTTACGCAGGAGACCCGGGGTGCGTGTCCTGCTCTCTTTATGCTGTGACGACAGGACCAGAGGAGCTCGGCGGGGGAGGAACGCAGCTCCCTAAACACGTTTCCTTTTTTTAGCCCTGACTTTATACCTGAAAGTTCCCTCGTTCGTAGGGCACAGGTGAGACCTATGTAACACGAAGTGGAGGGTCCGCAGGCTGGGACGGACGGACGGATAACATTTACGGACATGAGACGCCGCTGGACGAACAGCTGTTTTCCCCTTTCTCCTGAAAACATAATCCTGGTCTCTCAGCAGGCACGTCTCCGCCAGGAAACAAGAATCCTTACTTTTCGGCCTCCCTTGCTTTGGTCGGGGAACCGAGACGTAAGGAAAATATGGGACCCACATGGGACCCTTGGGAAGATTCTTAAAAGGGATCCAGTGTACCCTGATTTCTGCCTTCCTCCTTCCTGTCACTGGGAGATGACACTGGGGTGACACTGGAAAAAGTGCCCCTGGGAGGCTGAAGCCCTCACAGCCGTCCTGGTTGGGGACGTGAGGACGCTGGCGCAGGAAGGTGAAAGGGGCCTGAGTCCCCGAAGGCGGTGACCACCCACAACCCGAAGGACCAACCAGCCCGTGAGCCAGCCACCCTCCCAACACACAGACGGCGCCTCTCAGCCTCTGTCACTTTCAACCTTTTATCCGTGACGTAACCTCATTCTTACCGATCAGTGAATGTGCGGATATCAGACGTTCTGCTAAACGTCCCCGGCGGGAGCCGTGCAGGGTAGGAATTGGTCAGTCGGCTTCATGGAGGAGGAAGCCCAGGCTTGGAGGTCCCACGTGGTTGACCGAAAGACACCAGGCGGCGAGCGGCCCCGTCAGAAATCCCGTGAGGGGCTGGGACGGCTGTGCCCCTGCGTTTTCCCACCTCGCTAGCACGTGGGAGTGAACGTCTTCTGTGCCTTCGGCTGAATCTATTTACTCCCCTTTAATTAAGACCCCACCCCTCTGCCTGCCGTGGCTTACTGTGAGGAGAAGTGGGTTTATGTTCTGCAAACCACGGATGTCCTCAGGACACAACCACGGTTTTAACGTATGCGTGCGATTGGCGTTATTTGAAGCTGTCTGCACCCCAGAAACGCCAGCAGTTACCCGGGGAGACTTCGCGTCCAGCGCAGGCACAGCTGACGAGTTTGTGACACGAGCTTGTGCTGGTTTAAACGGTCTCACAAAATCAAACTCCAATCCTACTGCGCCGCCCGTGCAGAAATCCGTGCTGCGCGCTGCCCCCTCGCAGAGCCGCCCGCCGTGCTTCTGCTCGCTGGCCATCCACAGCCCTCGGGGCCGGCGGTCCCAGGCGGGTCCCTCTCAATCCTGAAGCCTCCGGCGATGCCGGAGCCTCCCAGACACCAGCACAATCTCCCTGGTGTAAAAGCCAACGAGCTGGCGACCTGATTCCCACCTGCAGCTTCAACCATCTTTTTCAGGTAACATCACGGACTCATGGGTTTCCAGCGTAAGGACTGGGCAACTTTGAGGCCATTACTCTGCACACCCCGAGCCTGAGCCTACGTCCTGGCGTGTAGTAACGACTCACTAAATAACAGTAACGGCCAAAACTTAGGTCGCTGCCTGCCAGGTCTGACCTCCTGCCGCCTGGATACACCAGCCCTCAGCACGTGAAGTAGGAAGTGATGTCACCTTCCCAGTAACAAATGGCGACACGACACAGACAGTCCATCCCTCAGTGAGTTGGTGACAGGCAGAACGAAGACGTGAGCCCAGAAAGCCCGGCTCCCGTCTGTGCTTTTCACGGCCCCTCCTGCCTCCTCGCTGTAAATGCCCTTGTAACAACCAGGAAACCCAGGCGCCTTTGCGTCCACTGGCCCTGGGGACGCTGCCATCTCCACACTGGGCCCCAGGAACCGTGTGCTCACTTGTCACACGCGGTCGTAATGGCGCCTGCTCTGTCCTGGGTGATGGGCTGCGGGGCTGAGCGGGGCTGGCCCGGCGCGCACGCCTTCACCACCCCAGATGGAGTCTTACCAGGTGCGGGGAGGAAAACCCCTCCTAAAATAAAGGGCTCCGTGTGGGGAGCGCGGAGCCGTCGCTCTGTGTTTGGATTTCAAACCTGACCACTGTTCTCCTGGGAGGAGCCGCCACCGCGCTCCTCACACTCATGTTCCAGGGACACGCTCTGCGTCTTACGTCACGGTGAAAACCTCCATCGGTAAACACCAATGTTAAAGATCAATAAGCAAGCCTCCCAAAGATGGAGTCAGAACGCCCCGAGGGGCAGCCCCGCGCCCTGCCGGCCGGACCCCAGGCAGGATGAAGAGCGTCTCCCTGCCCAGCCAGACGCCCCCCCCGCCAGTCGCCACCTGCACGTCTGCAGCTGGTGGCCTCCAGGGTGGCTCCCGGTGACAGCCCCGCCAGGAAGCCGCTGCCACCCTGAGCTTCCCGCAGCCCCTCCTGCCCCCGTCCCCACAGAAGCGAGGCCCTCTGTCCCTTGGGCTCGCTTGTCCAGAGCGGCAGGCCCCCTGTCGTCCCCCAGTAAACCCACGTTGCTGGTAAAATAGGGCTCTTTGTTTTTGCTTTTCTAAGGTCAACAGGCGTCACGGTGGAAAGCAAGCAACAAGTGAGCGGCCACGTCTCTGGACTGAGTACCTTCCGGTGTCCGGCAGCGTGGCGTGGCCTTTCCTCCAGGACGCGCGGGCCCGGGGGGACGCGTGGGGCTTGCACTCCAGGCCCACCTCGCTGCCCGCCTGCACCCGCACCAGCCTCTTCATGGGTGTCTTTGAGAAATCCGGGGGGGACGCTGCAACGGAAGGAAGAAGAAAGGATGAGATGTCCGCGCTGACTACGTTTTTTTGAGTTGCCCTAAAATCCAGAGGCTGACTTTGAAACGGCCGTTTGCATCGTGTCTTGCCACACAAGGTGTCCACACGTGACTCACGTGTCTGACTGGTGCCACGCGCAGGATTTCACTGCTCAGAAGGAATTACAATCCCCACCACTGAGCTCTCCAGTGAGTTCTAATTCTTGAGACAACTACTTTAGACGGGAATTTCGGAAGTTGACTGGAAGTTTTAAAATGGCTCAACCCTGACTTTATAAAAGTTAAAAACCTTTATCACACACAGTTCTCGTAAGCTGGATTCGGGAGCCCCCCACACACACCCCGTTTTCTCATTCCCGCCATACCAGGCTCTGCTCTCAACCATGACGCCGGGTTTTCAGTCATTCGCAACGTACAGGGCTTTTTAGGGAAACTACCCTAAATGTGAAGAACATATTGTTTCTTCTCCTGTATCGAAAGTGCAAGAAGAAAATATTTCAGGGTTTCAAGCAGTTGAGCCTTGGCTGATTAAAGCTCATGACGCCAAATGTCAGAAGCTTCCAGAAGGATTGCGGAAGGTGAGGGCAACTCCCTGCAGATCAGCAGCGACTGGTTTGAATTTGGTTCGCGCTTTGTGGCCCGGCACAGAGAACGCCACAGCCGTGTGTTCTCTTGATGGGCGGTGTCCGTGAGAGTGGACTTGGGGACGGGGTCGGAGGTCAGCGCTGTCTCCCCAGCTGCTGCCCCACTCCCGCCCGTGGGCCTGTTCGGGCCACAGTTGCCACGTTGCCCCGGAACTCACCTAAGTGTGGGCCCTGACTGCAAACTCTGAGCTGTAATGCTGTAGACATTATTACACGTAGGAGATTAAAATGAAAAGTGAACAATTCTGCTTCTGACAAAAATGAAGAATTTAAGGAAAACGGTAAGGCGCGAGCGGGGAGACTTACCCAGGACCTTGAGCTGGGCGCTGGAGGCGGCGAGCCCGTGTTTGTTTTCTGCTATGCACTGGAACACGCCCGAGTCGGCCACGCTGAGGTTCGCTATCGAGAGCGCCCCGTTTTCAATCTGGATCCTCTCCTGGGTGGTGACAAAGGGTCTTGCATGTACGCACCATTTTAGGAAAAAAGGATCTACTGACACCCTTCCGTCCTACACAAACACTCTTCATTGCCCGCATTAGGAGGCAATCTAACTTGAACTTTAAACTTTCCCTTACTTGAAAATGTGAGGCTGATTTAACACACGAGCCACACATTGCAAGTCCTAACAACCAGCTTTCGGTCCCAAAGTACCTCAGTGGGTAAACAGCAAAGCAAGAGGAGAAACAGTACAGCCATTTCATTTTCCCCAAACGTTAAACGTGCAGACTTTAAAAACACGTACATGCGTCCAATCCCCTCCACTGGATTGGTCTCCACCATTTCAAAATAATGCCAATTAAAGATATGATCCATTCTGTGCATGAAAAAAACTTCTGGAAACACACATGTACTAAGTGTTTTACATAGTACGAAGGGTTATGTATACAAATTTGAAGAAACGTGTGACTCAATACACAAATTTTAAACAGAGTGAAAAGCACATGGCTTGCGAAGGGCAGTGACGGGGAAACACCCACCCATGTGACAAGGTAAGGAAGTCACAGATGCGTTCATTCTCCAGAGGCCGTGTCCAGGGGCCATCGGGAAAAAGGGAATTACGTCTGTATTTAACTAAAGTAAGGCTTTCTCTGATTTCAAAACCAAAACAACAAAACACAAACATACAAAAAGTACATATATCATCTTACAGACTAAATTCACAGAGGCCCCTTTCCCAGGGAACTCACGGCTGACAGCCCTCCCCCGGCAGCCTGGATGCCTGATGTGACCGCGTCCCCGCCTGCTCCTCAGAGGCCAGCCCAGCACCGGTCTGGCCCGAGGCGCTGGTCACGGCGCTGGCCGCGGGCCCGGGGGGGCTGCAGGGGGCGCTCACCTCCAGCACCAGGGCCTCTCCGTCCTTCAGCCAGCGGTACGACGCTTTGGGCTTCCCGCTGGCCTGGCATTCCCAGAAGAGACTGTCCCCCACCGCTACCTCCACGTCTCTCAGGAGCTGAACCCAGTGAGGCTTTGCTGCAACGAAAACAGAGTAAGCACTAAACGCTCTGCCCACTACGTGTAGACGGACCCGAGGCTGAGCGACGGACGGCTGTGAGCACAGCGGCTAAGAGACCCTTCATCCCCTGGTGCATGTAGGTAATGTCCCTGGGGCTCAGGACGGACGCTGCCATCTGTCGTGTCCTGACCAAGCCCATCGTGCGTTCTTTTCGAGCCTGGTGCCCGCATCCCGCTCGTACGAGAACCATCAGCAGACGGCAATGCGGGTACACTGCCCAGGTGTCTGCGAGTCGTGAGGTCACACTTCAGGACAACGTGACCCATGAGTGACCACAGATGCCGGTCTGAATTACACACTAAAAATTAACATCCGTAGAAGAGAAACTTCCGTGGCTGAGGGAAAAACAAAACTATTTCCTTCAAGTTAGAAATAACTTGATTGAACACGAGCCAGAGAGCATCTTAGTAGCCTTGGTGAGAACTAAACGAAAGCAGGGAAAGACGGATGCGTTGGTTCAATGTGAATCACGTAATTTCTTATGAAAAAGACGTAACTCCCGCAGCCTTCGAGCACATATGCAAATCATTTGTATAGAGCGGGTTTATCATTTTCACACGTTTTAGAAGATACGTTTTGGAAAATTCTCTTTACAGGCGAAAGCCACATCCCGCTTGCCCTGAAAGTCAGTCGACATGCATGCTGTGTTTGCCGGGTCCCCCTGGCGCTGCTGACCACAGCGGGCAGCTGAGCCGTCACCGGGGCCACGCACGTGGCCCGACGCACGTGATGTGAGCTGGGGGCTCCCGCTCGCGCCCTCCGTGTGAAGAGACACGTTGTCTATTTCTGTTTAACTGCAGCCCTGGTAAGGTTCTCCTTTCCCTTTCTAGCTCATAAAAATGCTTTCTTAAATAATGAAATTGAAATGAAAATATAGCTATTTAGCTTTTAGAGAAAATGGACCGGTCTAAGTTTTACCTTATTTTGTTTTTTATAGAAACAACTTGCCCATTCTGAAGTGTAGCTCAGTCCAAAAAAATCACTTCTTTCTACGTTATATAAAAACACAGTGTTTTCTTTCCGAAATTATCAGCCCAGAGGGAACTGGCCTACAAACAGACTCCACACATGAGCCCGAGACCGAGGCTCAAGTGTCCAGTGGAAACGTCCCCGTGCTCCCCACATCGCTATTCTTCCCCGAGGACCAGGCGACTGGCGGGGCTAAGCCAACCCTGAGATTACGACGGCCGCTGTAATTGTGACACCCGCCTTCGTCCATCACGGCAGATCCAACAGTGGTGGATCAGACTGTTTTCCACATGAAGCATCAGAGACGGTCCCCAGACAACTGCACGCACTTTAGAGTCGCAGGTACCTGATGAGACGGCCCCTCGTTCATTTCTCAGGCACAGGTCACATCTCGCGTTGCACTACGGCCCTCGTCTGCCTCCTCCCCGAGCACAGCGGACGGCGCAGGCTGCCTAACGAGCCTCCGTTTCCCTCGCCTTCGTCCCTCTATAACCCAGTTGTCACTAAGCCTCCTCTGCTCCATCCCTTCATGCTCCACAAAAGCCAGGAGACTCCGGCCTTACTCCTCATCCAAACATTCTCTTCGATTGCCTGACGGAGTCTTTTCTCTGTGGTTGGTTTAGGGATAAACACGCAGTCAATGGGATGTGAGGCGGGAAGTGCGAGATGTCTGGAGGAGGGACGTATGAGCAAGGACTGACGTGCTGGTCGCTGCTGGCAGCCGCGTTGCGACTATAACAGAAACTAACACACTGAGAAGGGAAAAAAACAGATAAGGGCAGAAAAAAAAATCACAGAAAAACCGAGTCAGGGCCGAGTGGAAGGTGCTGGGATGCAGCACAGCTTTGGGTTTCTTGTCCTGTATTGTTCTGTGTTCACGCAGGCCCCCCGTCCATGCAGCCAAAAGCATTCCTGCTGCTTCACACGGAAGGCAGTGTGAGCATCCTGTGTTTTCTTATAACGGGCACTGCTTACTCTGGGTCTGGCAGTGGCAGCTCAGAAAGGAGGCACTAGCCTGGCGACTTGCTTTGGGGGGGCGGCAGGCTACAGGCTCCACCCATCTCCGAATCACCCAGCAGCGGGACACTGACACCTGGCTCGCTTCCGCTGGGCGCTGTGCCTGCTAACCTACGCGGGCAACATGACGGGAGGGTTACAAACAGGATCTCTCAAGCCACGGGACCGGCTCCCATGTCGCTCCTGAGAGACCCTACAGTCTTCCAATAATACGACAAATGTCAATTTTCTAGTGATACGACAAGCGTCAGTCCAATCAGAGGCAATATACTTGCACACTGCTAGTTTTCTTGAGTGCGTGTGTGTGTGTGTGTGTGGGGGGTCACAATAACCTGTGTAATTTAATGTGTGTCTTTGCAACCTTTTTCTTCTTGGCAGCATCTATGTATGCTCTGCGAGGCGGCCCTGCCGGCTGCTTCAATTTCCAGGTCCTAGAATAAATCGAGTCTAATTCAATTTGCCTTTCAGGAAAGTGGTCAATTCCCACTAGTTTTACAATGTTTGCAATGGATAAAATGCAAACGTGTATTCACCAGGTTACATCTTCATACGTGTTACAGTGCATTTTATAAAATCGTATATTTATAGTTTCTAAACCATGCTTTCATCAAGAAACCAGTATGTTTGGATAAAAGGAATTTGAAAACAAATGCTGAGTAAAAACACAATCTACTTTTCCTACAAACGTCTGTCAACAAAGGTAACATGTTATCCTTTCCTAACCCACACTCATCAAACAAACGTGAGTGCACGTCCGAGGTGGCAGACGGAGGGTCAGGGCGTCGCCGAGAGCTCAGAGCCTGGCCTGGCGCTTTCTCTAAAGCAGACACAGTTTCGTTCTGCTCAGTAAAGGTAACTGCAGAAGATATAAAGCCACATTTTTCAGAGAGGGACGACAGAAAAGAGCTGTCTCCTGGATATGGTTACATGTGTCACAGGGTATACTTAGAAAAAAAGTGAAATATTTCATTGTCACATGAACTGTTTGAGAATGCAAAAACAATGCATGATGCCTTTCACTGCAGAATTCTACTTCTCTCAGCTCCTTCTGTGGGGAACGTTTATCCTCCTTGGACAAAATGCAGAACGGAGCATATGGGCACAGGTTCTGCTGTGACCCCGTCCCGAGCACAGCAGCACCGTCTCAGGGAACGAAAGCCTGTGCACCCGCCAGCCCGCCCGCCGGACACTCCCGGGCTCACCGTAGTACGTGAGGCGCCCTCGGGCCACGTTCCTGCCCCGCGAGTTCTCGGCGACGCACTCGTAGGACCCTGCGTCCTCCTGCTGGAAGTCGGGGATCTCAAGCACAGCGTTGAACTTCCTCAGTTTAATTTTACTGGGAAAAGGCAGCCCGTCGCTTCTTCTCCAATTAATCTGAGGTATGGGGCTAAGAAGACAATTGTCACATTGTTTGCTATTTGAAACTGAGTCTGGAAGTCTTTTTGGCTCCACAAAGTAAAGCTTTGGTTTGGAGCCAGCAAAACATACAAGGCTTGTTGTTGTTGTTGTTTCAGTGTCAGGCGTACAAAACAACATAACGATTAGACATTTACCAGCTCCCAAAGCGATAACCCCACAGCCTACTGCCCCTCTGACACGTCTATCGCTGTTACACTCTATTCCCTATGCTGCGTTCCACATCCCGTGACTATATAGATGTATTTAATTATAGTTGACATTCAGTATCATTTTATGTTAGCTTCAGGTGTGCAGTGCGGTGGTCAGGCATTTCTATAATCTAAGAAGTGCCCCCCCCCCTCCATAAGTCCAGTACTCATCTGTGCAGAAAAAAATCGCCAGTCGTCAATTACACAAACCTGATGGAAAGACTGACTTCAAGTCGACATTTTAATGATATAAATGGTGTATTTTCTTGAGTTAAATCATGATTTAGCATAGAGGTCTCACGCATACCCACTGTATTATAATATGACAGATGAGCAAGGGAGAGAAAAATAACACCGATTTAGTTTATGAAATTAGGCAGGCACCGTCATTTTCAGCAAATTGCCATTAAAGTTTCAAACTAAATTATTCATGTGCACTTTCCCGGGATTTCAGTTTTCCTCTGCTTTTGCTACAACAGAAAATTTCAGCAAATAAGGAAAAGAGGAGTCTGTTCTAAACTATCTCTGTGTCCTCCATAGCCTAATGCATAGCTCGGCACGTCAGAGTGACGGGGTCAAACTTACTTTCCAAGGGCAAAGCATTCCAGCCTCACGGTTGAGCCTTTCGCTGCCGGGAGACTCTCTGGAAACTGAACTTCTATTTTTGGTTCATATTCCCCCATCACACCTGCGAAACCACAGCACAGAGTTAATAGCGTCACCGTTTCCTTCGCATCGTCCCCTTTTTTAAAATACCACGTCCCCTTGCTCCATTTTGAATCAGCTTCTCTGCTGACTGACATCACCCACGAAGCACCCAGTAGGTGCTTTCTGAGGCCGAACTGACTTGGGCCAAACATGCAATGTTAACAAATATTGAGGAGCCTTGGAGTCGGTGAGTCGTAAATGACCGTTTCCAGCACGCTTCCGAGAAAACCCCATGCTTTTTACTTTACATAAAATGGGAGGCTTTGTATTCTGTGTTCCATCTGGATATTTCTAGTGAAACAGAAACAGAAACAATGTAGCAGGATTTGTTGAAATGTCCTCAAGAGCAGAAGTTACGGGAGGGACTTCCCTTACGGAGCCCCGTAGACACTGATCGTCTCAGACTCATCAGAGGATCCCTGGGGGAGGGAAACAGTAGCTGAAAACTGGAAGCGGTCACCTGCAGATGACCCACGGGCGGTGCTGGGGCGGCCGTGGACACAGCCCCGCTGCCAGGGACAGCGCTTCAGGCATCAGCGGGCCAGGCCCTCGGCTAACGGGTCAACCCCGCGGCGGCGCGGCCCCGGGCCCCCGACACAGCCAGGGCGGGGTGAGCGAAACACGTCTTCCTGGCTTTATTCAGGTGCAAGTGACAAGTAAACAGTGTATGTTTAGGCTGTACAAGGTGATGGTTTTTACAGTGTAAATGTGATGACATACGATAAGGTGTGACAGGAAGGCCTCAGTCAAGTTCGCACACATAGCATCTCACAGATGCTATTCTCAGTTAATTAAAAAAATGTTTTTTTGTGGTGAGAACACTTCACACCACTCAGCGAACCCAGCACACATGCAGTGCTGCTGGGGGTGTGGGATGAAGACGCGTTCGTCACAGGGCACAGGCTTTCAGTGATAAGTGACTTCTGTGGAGCTACTGTCCACACGTTTTCTTCATTTTTTTTTTTTTAAATAGAGATCATTTTTAGCCTGTAACAAACTGCCCAGAGTGCTGAGGACCTCAAGCTGGTGGAGGTCAGGACAGACGGCTTTGGGGACACAACTGGGGCCCTGGCTCAGCGGTGCCTCCTGCGGTTCAGCGTCTGCTGTCACCACCGTGAGACGCTTACTGATCTGCTCTGGCTTCTGCACATCACGAAGCTGGTCCTGGTGAAGCCTGCGTGTGGGGACCTCTGGTTTATGGGGCCGTTTTAGTCACTGTGTCATAAATCACTTTTGTTCTAAAACAAATGAAATGATGATTCTTCAATTGAGACACACTTCGCATTGTCCCCCACTTGTCTCTGCTTGCGCTAACACGTCCCCTTAGAACTGCGCCTGGAATCATGTCTTACCATCGGGACGCAGCACCAAAGGGGTCGGCGAGCCCAGCTCGCTGGCGGCTGTCACCGCGCTTGTCACCACACACGTGTAGTTGCCCACGTCGGACGGCTGCACCTTGGCTATGTAGAGGTGGCCCGTCTCCTGGGAGACAAATCTCCGACGGTCTTCATCAACGAACGATGGGTATTCGTTGAAGATCCACGCATATGAAAGTTCTAATGAAACATTGGGAAACAAGGAAATTCCATTACTAAGGACGGTTTGCCACAGTGCAATAGAAACGCACAAAAGCACCTGACTGCAGTGAGGCTGAGTGCGTCTGGGGGCGGCAGCGGAGAAACGGGCGTGACACGCGCCGTGTGCAGCCTGTTACAGGGGCTGCTGGCCAGCATCCCGTGCGAGCAGCGCTGTCACCGGCGTCGTGTGGCCATTCCAGGTGCCTCCTCCAGGCCACCCTGGCCTCAGTCTGGTCCCTTTCATCCGCTCTCCACACCACACGTCCCCTGATCTTTCAGAATGACGCTCCCATCACGTCACGTCCTGATATACACTGTCACTCAGTTCTCAGTGGCCTCGGGAATAAGACGCGACCGCTGAACTTGAGTACGAGACCCTGCGTGGTGCAGCCCCGCTCCCAGCCCGGTGGCCTCGAGAAGCCCGCGACGCCCCCTGCACCGTGATGTCCACGTGCTGCCCCCAGGCACAGGGTCTGCGATGTCCCGTTCCTCTGCCCCCGGCCTCTGCGCCCCTTTAAACTCCAAGCCCCCTCCCTCTGCTACCGTAACCTCCAAACGCTCCTCCACGCGCGGCCCCAGCATCAGAAGCACCTCCTCCGAGGAGCCCCCTCCACCCTTGTCCCCGGGTAGGAGCCGCCAAGCAGCGCAGCAGCACACGGGTCCCCTCGGCCGTGAGGGCCAGCGACTCAGCCGTCCGCCCACCATCGGTAAGCAAGCGACGCCCACAGCCCATCACAAAGCAAAGCGACCCAGACATCCGGCCCTCAGGAAGCGCCCGCTGAGAGAGTTAAGGATGAAACCAGGCTGCTGAGCGCTTCCCGTGAGAAGCAAAGGGGAGTGTTTTCTTGAACCTCAGCATCAAGGCACAGGACCGTCCTCAAAGGGGTGACCGCGTGTCCGTGGGGACGAGGGCTGTTCACACCCTGCCCCGTGGCAGGTGGCCCTGGGCTCCAGAGCCATGGTGACACCCCAGTGCGGGGGCCGTGGCCAGCTCGGCCCGTCCGCCTTCCCGAGGTCCCACCATCTTTCCCAGACGTCAGACCGGACCCCCAGCCTGAGGCGCCCTGCGCCCCCTCGCCGCCCCCTCGCCTTCACCCGTCTCAGGCACTCGGTCCAGCAGTTTGTTTGAGTCTGATCCTCTAATGCCACCTTGGGGGCAGCTTCTCAGAGAACCTGAAAGCACACGGTGTCACTGAAACTGAGTAACAGGGTCTCTTGCGTATTTAAAATGCCCCCCCCCCCCCCGAACCGGAGGAAACACCTTTTCTCGCCGACCTCCTGCCACATAGCTGTACCGCTCCCCAACCTCCACAAGATGACCCCCCTCACCTCCACCCCAGGACCTCCAAATACTCAGGCGGATTCCTCCAGACAAGTTGGCATCCCCGAGTAAATCAGGGCAGGCCCATCGAGACCCCCCCAGACAAAGAGGACCCGTCACCCCTCATGGGACCCTCAGCTCCCTGGGCCACGTTACTGAGCAGAAGCCCCAACTCTCACAGCAACTTGAAGACCCAGTGGAGAGAAGCTGCTGTCTGCACGGCTGTGACCCTTGCATTCTTCCAGGATTCAGGGTGACGGGGCACACGGGCCCGTCGTAGAGGAACAGGGACAGCCCTTCGGCTGTGGGCTCCATCCTGGGACAGCCTCCCAGGGCAAAGCTGCGTGTGAGCCTCAGGGCAAAGCTGCGTGTGAGCCTCACAGTCACACGGTACGCACACAGCGGACACCGCAGGCTTGTCACGGCGCCTTCTCGTCACACCCTGACAGGGAGCGTGTGTGATTTTAGCTGAAAGCGACGACACAGCCTAACCAGGGACGTGGGGTACAAGGACAATAACACAGCGGCCCCCACTCCTTCTCCCGGGGCCTCCACGCAAAGTCCGGAGGACAGGTCTTGGCCTAAGGACACAGCGACGAACTCCGAGGCTCTGAGCTGGAGGAACGGGAGGAACAGGGGAAGTTGGAACAGGAGCCACTCTGGGGCTGTCCCCAGACGGGACTGCGACTCGGGCAGCTAACTAGAGGCAGAGAGCTTTAAACGCACGTGTGAAAGCGTCTGGGCCTGAGACGCGCGGGCAGCGGAGTCACCCCCGGGACAGGCCGCACCCCGATTCCCCAAGCCTGTGGATGTGTCACCTGACACGGCCAGAGGGACTTTCCAGGTGTGATTAGCTAAGGTTGCTGAGCTGGGGAGAGGACCCTGGGTTATCTGGGTGGGCGAGGTGTCATCGGAAGGGTCCTTAGAGGGGGAGGTGGGCGGCGGGTGCAGGGAACGTGAGGACAGGAGCGGAGGTGTCGTCGGGGACGGTAAGCATCTGACGATGCTACGCTCACGGTTTGAAGATGGGAGAAAGGGTGCTGGGATGAGGAGTACGGGGGCTTCTCGAGGCTGGAAAAGGCAACAACAAACAACAAACTAAACAACAAACCCGGGCTCTCCCCTGGCCGCCGGAGGCACACAGGCCCGCTTGGCTTTTCGCCGTGAGACACTGAGTTTGGACCTCCAGGACGCTGAAAGGATAGACGGTGCTTTAAGCTGCTGAACTCATGTAACTTTTACAGCAGCAACAGGGAAGTAATATGACTTTGCAGATGTAATTAAGGATCTTGGGATGCATCTGGGAGGACAAAACATAATCACAAGGGTTCTTATTAAGAAAAAAACAAAACACAAGGGAGAGAGGGGTTGAGGAGATGTGGCCGGGAAGGCAGAGGTCTGGGGAGGCCCAGGGCTGCCCACCGGCTCTGCAGCCCCGCGGGGGTGGCAGCAAGAAGCCACAAAAGCAGGCGGGAGGACTGTCCCCCGGAGCCGCGGGGGCCGCGGCCGCGTGCCACCTGCACCTGAGGTCAGCCCCGTGGGGCCTGCGCTGGACACTCACCTGCAGAACTGAGATAATAAAGTTGTGTTGTTTGAACTGCTGAGTTGTGGCAATTTGTCACAGCAGGAAGCAGATGTAAAGGACAGTGACAACCAGCAATTGAGTGTTTACTCAGCCCAGGCCAGCGCTAAGCGCCGGAGATGATATTTCCAAAGAACAACAAACAACCAGGCACAAAAAGTTTGAGAAGGAGAGGGGTTCTTCACCGGAAACGCGTGAGGGAGGCTCAGGGCTTGTATCGCAGGATTAGAAGATGGATATTGGGGGGGGGCTGTCATTCCAGAGGAGGCGGCAAACTGCAAGGGCCCCGAAAGCAAACGAGTTCCTGATGGTTTTGTACAGACTCAGGCCCTGAAGATGCTCGGAGAAATCCGGCCTGTGCTTGCATGGCGCCCCGTCCTGGGGGGCTCGGACCGACATCTGCGGTCCCCGCATCGCCTCTGCACACGCGTTCTCACTGAGCCGAATGTCACACTTAGGTCTTAGAGGGAAGACGTGTGACGGCTGTGATGGCTGAATGGTGGCGTCACATGCACACGGGGTCGCTCAGATCGAAACCACGGGCGGGTGACAGGGTTTCCTGTATCTGGAATGAGGTAGAGCCGCCTGTGGCAACACTCGCAGGGCTTATTCTCGTCAAAACCTGTACTTGCGATAAATGTTAATCGTATACCGCAGCATAAAACATACCTCAAATCAGCATTCTTTGGAGATTTTCCACGTAGGTTTATGTGCGATGATAAATGCAGAGCTGAAATAAAATGATTTTCTCTCCTCAGACAAGCCGGGCTTGGTGCCCCCCTGGTGTAAATCACAAACCCGTTATGCCCAAAGCGCTCGGCCACTGGGCTTGCCACTCACACGCATCTTAGGATCCGGGAGTGGTTTTTATTAGCGAACAAGGGGGTTTACCCATCAAAGCCACAAATTAAGGGAATGGATGACTGAGCCGCTGCTTTCTGAAGAGGAATGCATGAGGAATGCCTTCTGTTCTCAGTCACAACCCTTCCCGGCGTCAGGCCCGTCAGCGGGACGTGAGTAAACGTCACCTCCGGGTTTACCTGGAAATGCATGAATACACACGGCTCTGACGTGTCAGGGGTAGCTCTAGCTCCACCATGAAATTCTATTATGAGGGAGATTTAATCCTCAGCGTCGGAATTTTCTAGAAGAAATTGTAGTTGGGCAAAATTGTAAAGTAACTGTGGCCATTTGCTGGGGTTCCAACTGGGAAGCTTGGCCTCCTGTAATAGGAGACGCTGAGTACGCAGGCGGCTGTGGGAGCTGGCTGTCCCTTAGGGCCGTGATCGCCGATTCACGCAGCCGGGAAGGGACGTTTGCCGCCACACTGCCAGGCGGCAGCGCGCTGGCCGGGGGTCTGGGGCACAGGGCAGGCTCAGAGCTGCAGCGCTGGACGCGGCTCAAGGACCCGCGGTGTCCGCCCCCGTCACGCCTGAGGGGTGGTCCGAGGCCGGAGGCCAGCAGAGCACAGGCCGGGTCAAGCCCTGTCTCACCTGCCTCGTCAGCCAAACCTGGGGAACACACCCCCGGCCAGGCTGCCTTCTGAAGACGGGACAATGTCCTCGGGCAGACCCACCCTGCAGGGACGGTGCCCCCAGCTCCTGGGGGACGTGACGCTACAGTGACGACCCTTGTGACGTCCCCAGTCAGCGCAGTCGGGACTTCGTCTAGGAGACCCTGGGGGAAGAACACGTTTCTTCTCGGCTGCCTCATTTTCATCACAAAAATGTCTTTTCTTGAAGGCGTTCAGAGCCCCTGAAGATGTCAGAAAGCGGTTTTAAGATATTCGCTCAAAGCTGCCATGCTGATGGCGACCAGGAGTTTCATGGCCAAGACCTGCTCCTGCAGCTAACACCGCTCGGAGCTGGGAGTGGGGGGCACAGCGTGGCCACGGCGAGTGGGGGTGCAGACCTTCCGTCCGCGCCAGCCATCACTTATATGGAGCAATGGACACTTTTTATGACTTCAGTGAGAGCCAACCACGTTCTCTTTGTGACTGCAGTCCAGGAGAAGCTAAAGACTCGCACAGCCTCGGGAGTGCTAATTGGAGCCAATTATAATTTGATTGACCT